GTTTGGCATCACTGAAGTCTTTCTGTCCGCGTGATCTGAAGACTTATTTCATTTGAGGACTGTGAATCCTCCAGCCGGTTAGGCGTCACGTTCTGAGCATCCAAGAGCCATTGTGGATTGCCGGTGAACGAAGTCTGTGAAGGTTTGGGAGTCTACCTTGAAGACTTACCAGAGTGATTGGGCGGGGACTGAGAGTCCTTAGCTCAAGGGGAATAAGGTGAAGACGCGGTCTTCTGAGTTAAATCTCAGCCTCCCTAACCAGACGTACAGTTGTCACAGCAACTGGAACTGGTCGAACAAGCCCCTGTCCTCCTGAAGCTATTGGTTCTATCTCTCACTTCTCTTTACTTACAGTTTGTCTTCGATAAGTCATTGCTTGCTTGCATAATCTGTTTGACTTTACTGTGTGACTACTTGTCCTGATTGGCTTCATATTATCTTCCATCCTGATCTTTACTATCTAGCTGCTAATAGTTTTCGTCCTTTCACTTCATTGAATACTTGACTATGGCTTGCCTAGTGTAGTCTACCTTCCGCTGCATACGAATAGTGTTGTTTCTATGTTTGTCTTCGAAACTACCATGTTTTGAAGACTTTCATAAAAATCGCCTATTCACCCCCCCCCCCTCTAGTCGATAACTAGCCCTCTCACCTCGGGACTCCCCTCCGGTAGATTTTTGTTCCAGTATTTTTTTATTCTCCAAAAATATTCTCCGTTGATTTTCAGCGCATTCCGAGAACTTTTATTTCTGCACAAAAACAACACCACGGTAGTTCTGCTGAAAACAGCGTCAGTCCGGATAGTTCTAATCAAATCATACCAAAATCATATAAAAATATTATAAACATGGCATGAATACTTCATAATTTATAGATAAGTTGGAGACGTATCAGCCCGCACCTACGCGCGACGAACTGTCAGGTCCCGTTTGCGGTGTCTTCGCCCTTGCCAGTTGGCTCGGTCGCTATAGTCGGGCTTTCCGATGCGCCCGCTTGCGTCGGTTCACACTTGCCCACGCCCTTCGCTGCTATTAAGAGCATATACAGTGGGGTTGACTCAGCTGTCTGTAAGCAAGCACACATAGGATATTTGACTACGTGGTGGGAAAAGAAAGAGGAGAGAGAAATCAATCGTCTGTACAATTACCGACCGTCTAATAGCACAAAAATCGCTGCTTAGCGACGTCCAACCTCCGGTTGTACGAAGGGGTGTCTGCATCTAGCAGTTTTTTCTTCCAAGATCGATACAACCACCGCATGATTTTACAGACTATACAGACTACTCCCTTCGTCCGGAAATACTTGTTCTTAAAATGGTTGCATGTAGATTTATTTTAGTTATAGATACATCCGTTCTATTCATTTTGAGGACAAGTATTTCCGGACGGAGGGAGTATTAAATAGACAATGCGTTGTAAAGGGTGTGTGTAGTAAACAACTAAATAGACTATAATCTGAGATGGACATGGGCTATAGACAGGATCTGTCTAGACTCGCCACGAGGTGCATGACGGCTCTTAAAAAATGTGACATGTGGCAGCTCCTAGGGAGTTGTTGGTCCCAGGTAAGCCGAGATTTGGCACCAGCAACTAGGAAAGTATTTGCCGAGCTCTCCTTTGGTTCTCGGCAAAGACCTGATGTCCCTGTCCTTGACTAACAGACTTGGTCACTTTATTTTGCCGAGAGTATCCCTTTGGCTCTCGGCAATATGTATGCTGAGTGCCTGACAGACAATTCTCGGCAAAGGTTTGTTTGCCTAAGGTGTGTATGCTCGGCAAAGGTGTTGCTGAGTTTTTTTTGGCTTTCGCCTATTGTCTGAGGCACTTCGCAAAGTAGGCGATTCCAGTAGTGTTGACTATCCCGTAGGCCTGCTGGCCACCTGGACAATAAGAGATGATCACCTGAAGCACCCCATCCCTTTTGATTTGATGATTTCTACCGGTAGATCATGGGTGTTAGCTCATATCGCGTTGTCCACTGCTCCAACGTTTCTGTTTCAAGTTTTCGCAATGCAGTTTCAATGATGGTCTCTTTTCCGGTGCAACAGGTGTGGATATTCAAAAGTGGTGCCATAACGCATAGGAGGCTACTCCACAGGCCAACAACAAAAAGGCCCCAACACTTTCGTAAGCACATTCAATCACCATAAATAATTTAGCGGGAACTTCACCGTGATGCATGGGTGCATCTGTCTTGTGCCGGTTCAAAAGTTGCATTCCCTGGTCAGACACGAAGCAACACATTTCTGCTGTCTTCTCCAATGGTTTTACGTACAAGCTTCTCCGGTGCACGCAAATATTTTTTGAAGGCGGGAAAGTAACTACATCAGCTCACTTCTTCCCACGGCCCTTGTCAGACTTCTTTGCTTCCTTGGATTTCTTCTTGCTTTCTGCTTCTGCGCCACCTTTGTTGAAGTCGAGGCAGCTTCTCCCGTGTCAGCTCGCTCATCATCTGGACAAGTTTTGTATAAACTGGCTGTGGGCACCTTCAGAATGCAGAGGATGGGAACCTGGGGTCTTTCTCCTTTTCCTTGCACCTTCACTTCCTGCATTCACTACAATCATTCATGCATATTCCTGTACCACTCACAAGGCGGATGACCGGCTGCAGTGTCTTCCCAGCACCTTCCCACTTTGTGTATAGGTCATCCACATCTTTTTTGTCCATCCTGTGAATTTTCACGAGCGCAAATTGTAAGGTGCATTTTCACAAGACATGTCTTAAACTAGACTAGAAGGTGTTACTCCCTCCGCTTCTAAATATAAGTCTTTTTAGAGATTTCACTATGGACTACATACGGATGTATGTAGACGTATTTTAGAGTGTAAATTCACTCATTTTGCTCCGTATGTAGTTCATATTGGAATCTCTAAAAGGACTCATATTTAGGAACGGAGGGAGTACATAGCAAGCAAAAAAAGGAGGATGTTATTACTCATACTCCCTCCGTTCCTAAATATTTGTCTTTTTAGAGATTTCAAATGGACTATTATATACAGATGTATATAGACATATTTTAGAGTGTAGATTTACTCATTTTGCTCCGTATATAGTCACTTGTTGAAATCTCTAGAAAGACAAATATTTAGGAACGGAGGGAGTACATGCCTATCAATTCCAACACGGCATATTAAGAAATTTAGATAGAGTCGGCCCTAAATTAACACTTGCTTACCTGTCGGAGAGTTTTTCAAACTCACTGCAGATGTGCTTGACCTCTTCCAGAATGTGTTCATCAAGTTCTTTATCAATCTATGCTAGAACGCCTGTTTGCTCCAGCCATGGAAGGGCGTCTCTAAGAAATTGAAAGACAGCCCTTGCATCTTTCTGCAGAAATTAGCTTTTAGAATTACTTGGCAGCTGCCAACGATGGGACAAGCTGGAAGATAACAAAACAAGCACTATTGTAACATATGAAACTCACCTGGTCTTGCTCATCGAGTAGAAAAGTCTCAAGCTTCTTCCAGAGAGTGTCAAAGATACCAGTTGAATCTGTCTTGCTCGAACCCTCTACCTTTTAATACCTCTATACAGGCACAAGGACATCGGTTGAACTTCTCTTTCTCGGACTGATCCATATCTTTACTATCTCTACCGTCACAAGAATGTTTCCAGAAATAACATTTTTGAACTTGCTACCGTCAGATTTTTCAGGAAATGGAGTCTCTTGCTTTACAGAACTTGGTTCTTCAAGACACTTGCTACCATCAGTTTGTTGTGGCAATGGAGTATCTTGCTTTACAGAATTTGATTCTTCAAGACACAAAGAGCCATTATCTTCGGAACATCATGCAAATCCTCCTTGCTAATCATACAAGGATTCAAGTTTCGACAGATTACTGGGGCTTCGGGTGAACCAATAACTACCATACGATCTCCGATTGCGGCAAGTGCATCAGCAAGCACTCTTGTGAAGTTGCTAGGTGTGCGAGACCTCATTTTCAAAGCATCTTCAATCTTCTTAGAGAAGTCCAAAGGTAAATCCTTAAAGATTTCATTCCTCACAAGGTTATGTGTGACCTCATAGCACTTCCCCAGAGAAAGAGTAAGGATCAGAAGGTAAAGTGTAACAACTAGTCACAGGAGGACTGCTTTGTATGAAGTACTTTTTTTTTTTTCGAGAAAACGCAAATGGCCTTTGCGTTTCATTGCATTGGAAAGAGAGGGTATTTACATCCTCCTAGGAGGCGGTTTGTACACACAGACAACAGAGGCTCAGTGCACGTCCCAGGATGATGGCAAAACGACCCTGAGCCCTTGAGCTCCAGCCTTTGCCCAACATCTGGTCTCGTCTTTGATCCTGTCTACAAGCTCGTTCAGTGTATGAAGTACTGGAAGGACATGAAGTCCTATGTACCCATTCCTGGAGCATATGCTTGGCCATCAAGATAGTCGCAATCGTCTCATATATGAAACGGCCTGATGAGTGTGCCAAACCATCAAGATTGGAATCTGAGCATGACTTAGATACCAGGCAGGTGTCAGTGTAAAGCCTTGCTGGTACGGCATTCCAGCATATTGACCAACAGAGATCTCGTGCAGCATATAAAATCATTCTGTAGTAAGCATGATGAAGCCAAGAAACCAAGGCACTCCATAAGACCCACAGTCCCACATAGCATGGTGGGGATATGTAGTCCAGTTCATCCTTCCACTTTACACTGAAGGTACACTCGAGCAAGCTTAAAGTTGAAGATCAAGGAGGATCTATCCCGACCACTGTCAAGAAATATCTTGAAATATCAAAAAAAATCTGCCCACTTAGAATTATTGCCCAGGTACTGTAGTAGTCTTGAAAGTAGCACTTCGTCCAATTGTGCTGCATGAAGCAGAAGCATGGTTGTTCTCCCAAGATGCCCATGAGTCAATTTTTTATTTGCTGGGTGAAGATCTGCACCAAGAGAATCAGCAACCAATCCATATGCAGCTGGCGAGTCAAGTAGATGCAAGAGGCTCCTCATTGTCCCATCTCTCCACACAAGAAAAACTAACTCAAAGAATCAACACCCACAGAGAACAAAAAAGCTTCTTAACTTCATGGAACCTTTTGGCATACTGAACTCTGGTTCTTCAAAAAACTTTGCTATCTCATGTATGATAAGGATAGTTCTCACCAGGGTATGCGAAGATGCCGGCTTTGGAGAAATTTGAACAATCGATTCCAACTTCTTAAGTACACTGAAACCAACAGAAGACAGCTCATTCATCAAGAAACACTGAGCACATGAACGACACTGAGGGGCACCCAATAAACATCTGTTCCCGTCTTGCTGCAAAGAATTCCTGTCAGCATTGGAAAGCCAACTTGCATTCATGTTCAGCACCACATATCTGTCAACTTCACCATCTTTTCTCAATCCAAAGTACTTGGCGCAAAGATCTTCTTAAACAACTGCATAATCATTTAATTCTGGACCATCAGTGTGGCAAAGATGAGATAGTACTTTGATTATGATCGTCTTCCAGTGATTCCAGACACAAAACAGAGTTTGGGGTGACATCTGGTTAGAGGCCAGCATGTCATTGCAGCTATTTTCATCTTCAGATCCTGGTCCTGATTATATCTTGTATCCAGAGGCTCGAGATTGAAGATGAACATCAAGGATCGAACAGGAAGCAACAAGTCCAACTAACAAGTTTGCACATTTTCTGCCCTCAAGCAAAGTGCAACTCAAACTGGAAAGGGACTTTTTCCCATCTGACAGTCCATCAGCTTCCATGCAAACAAAGCAGTAAGTAGAAGCACTCAGAGACCTTTTCTGCCATCTCTTTGGCTTTTGCAAGCAACTGCTCCTTCTCTGCATATCTTTTGGGAGGCCATCCTCTACTATTTGAAGACCACAAGGAATCCACAATGATATGGAGAAGCCATGTTGCGTCCTCAAACAAATCTGCTTTCTCGGGTATATCTACCTCCAATAAGACATCTCCTTTATGCTTTGGTATTCCTACAGCTTCTAGGAAATTTCCCATTTCCATCTCTAAACTTGACATAGATTTCTAGAATTTATAAACGTGATCCATAGAGCTGAAAGCTTTAACAAAGGGCATCATATGCTTTATGTCAGCACGCTCAAAATAATGCTGAGCGCAATTTTCCAGATACTTCGTTCTAATTGCAGAAACCTCCAAGGATGTTGAATTCTCAAGTGAATGTTCCTCCTCTTAACTGTTGCAGAAACTGCAAGCCCAGATTGTATAATTGTTTTCCATTCGAGCACATGGAGAAACACTTGGTGTAACATTTAGCTTTAAAGAATATTTCAGCTGTCTCCGACCAGCACTCAGCCCTAGCAAAACAGTCACCAGCTTCCTCAATTTTAGAAGTACCATTTTGCATGTAGACCATACCTATGGCAATGCAAGGAACACAATGGTAAGTCAGACAGAGCTTCATAGAGTGTAAGGTAGGTTTTTCCACTGCCTGACCTCCCAAGTATAAAAATAGTGAGCAGGAATTGGATAACCACCTGCCCTTCATCAGTCTGTTCAAAGGGGATGTCAATTTCAGACCCATTAGTAGCTGTCACAAATGCTTTGCCGTCCCAGATGATAAAGAGTAGAATTTCATCAGCAGGAAGCTTTCACTAACTTTTGGATTCTTCATGGCATATGATGTATCCACGAGATCATGCTCTTCATAAGAATCAACTTTGCAATCCATGTTATAGCGGATAACATCATGCACAACATCCCAAAGACCAAAACCATAGGAACCTCCAGTTTCCTGTTATCCATAACAAAAGCAACGCAAAAATTAGAATAATGTCAGGCAGTTCATTTGTAGGAATGACTATTCACAAACAGTTCATCTCTCTACGTATCAGGTATAAAAAGTCCAAGGAACCAGATTATAGCCCATTAACAATAAAAAAACTCATACCCCTGTGTCTCCACTCTCTTGCAATGATCCAGGTAATCATCCGTGTACATGGAGAACAGATTCTCGAGACGTTGAACAGTTCTTGCAACATTCTGCTGTGACAATAGGTCCCAAATTCTTATTATCTGGGAATACGTTCTTTCGGTTTTCTTCACGTCAGTAGTCCAAACAAGATACAGGTCCCAGACCTTGTATACTTTCGCAAGATGAGAAGCACCAGGCATCTCAAGGTTCTTAACTGTTCTCCTCCAATCATCTTCAAGTTTGATAAGCTTTTGGAGTACTTCCTTCCTGAGCTGTGGTGATTTTAGTTTGGTGAAAGACTTTCTAAACTCGTCGCTAAGAATGACCTATGAATATATGAATACAAAAAATGGAACATAAGAAAGAGTGTATACGAGAAAAACGAACAGTGTGTATTTCAAGAAAAGTAGGAGGTTCACAAAATAGCACATGTCCTGAAAATCTTATTTACAAACCTCTCACAATCCAATTACAGAGCAAACAGCATAGCAGAGATAAGTGAACCACATACATGATTCCAAAAAGTAAAGACAGATATATTCATCATGAATACAAACAAAATCACACTATAAAAGAAGTGTATATTCAGTAAACCCTGACTACCTGACAACAAACATGAACCTCACAAGGCAAATGTGCATGCATGAGCTTTACATTCTGGGCAATTTAAGTGCAGCGACATATTAGAAAACATGAAAGGAGTTGATAGTCACACTGGCTGAAACCATGGTACTTACCTTCCATCTGGTATTGCTGAAAACCCCTGAATCAGCATTAAGATCCTCAAGTTCATCAAGCTCTTGCTTACTTGCAACACCAACTTACAGATGGTTGCGTCATTAGTGGCACTGAAAATACATTTACGTCTCTCCGCATCAGCAACAAGGTCTGTCCATTTGGTCCCACTTTAATAAGTGTATGAGCAATTCCTACTTCCTTCGACTGAAAACAGTTGGTATTTGTGATTAGACATATGTCACCATGAGTATTTGGGAAATGCATTGAAATCTATTATAAAATCTGCACAAGAACACTTTTACTCACCACACTGCTGAAAGGATCTTCTCAATCATTTCAGGAATTGAGAGGCCCTTCTGAAAATATACACGGTTATTAGTATTAAATACGAACACAACACTATCTAGCTACTTTTTTATTACTCATAGATACCTTTGTACTCAACTGGCGCAAACTTTCTTCTATCACTGGCATTGGAATACAATATTGAGTGCCCTGCACTCTTCCAGCATGCATTCCTATTACCTCTGGACTACTTCCTTTCTGAACAAGGAAAACAGGTGCTCCCGAAGTCCCAGGGGTTGATACATATGACACCGGCAATATATCACACCCCACTAAAGAATTGTGATACATGCTGGCCCTGCAAAATCAATATTAAGTCAACAAATAAAAAAATATTAACATAAGGTCTCTGTGAAAATAGTTCTTTGTGAAAATAGGCATTACTTTGATTTGCCGTAAGAAGTTCCTGGTTCTTTAATTACACCCTTAGGCATGAAAATATAACCCAACATGACTAATTCCATATCCTTCTTGACAACCCGATCAGATAATTCCAAATTAGGTAGTTCAATCATTGGAAGACCATCACAATCTGTAGTAACCACAATTAATGCCACATCTCTCTCATCGTCAGCAAGTAGTATCTGGCCAGAACACAAACCATATCCAGTAATGCAAACTTGGACCAAATATTCATCTCGCAATTTAGCTTTATAAGCACTACCCGCTACGACATGGCAGCATGTCAAGATAAGACGTCTTCTGTCTTTGGAGCCTATCAAAAATCCTGTTCCTTGCATGTCACCGATAATAACAACACTGTCTCGAAAGCCAAACACAATCTGGTTCCAATAACTCGGAAGTGGGTGATCCATTGTAAGTCAATTCCTAGAGAGAACTTTTCAGGAAAAATATATAGAAAGTGTTATTTCTTTAATAGCAGTATAATGAATCTAAAATAGGTTACAATATTTTTAATTAGCTGAAGCAATAATGAAGAAATAAAAGGCGCCTAGGCGCCACCCGAGTGTAGGGGAAGAAAGATCAAACTCCCCCAGTCGTCCAATTAAAACACATGTGGCGGTTGGATTGGGTCAATGCATCGTCCTACAGGCCTCTCACCCCTCACTGCATTTTTCGTTTGAACCAAGAAAACGAGTGATGCGTGTGGACGCAACAACCCATGGCCTCCTGCAGCTCTAGTGGTCACCTCAACACATGGTCTTGGTTCCCTCCCATCGCAGCATTGCTAACACACGACGACGACGACGCTACACCGGCGACCACAACAGCATCGCAGCCACAGCAGCTCGTAGCTTCACCGCCGCGGCATGCTGCAACACAGCAGTCGATCGTGACACAACCGCAGGACAGCCACCCTTGCTCATCGACCATTGGGCTTTGCAAACAGGTCGTTGCAGCACTCGCATCCCCTTGTAGCAGACGGTGGTGTTGCAACATGGGTGGCAAGCTCTGAAGCACCGATGAGGCGGTTTGCAGCAGCTCGCACACAGACGGTGGACTGCTCTGCAGCGTCACCTCGATGGTGTCAGGCTGTGGGGGATGGTTGGATTGTTCCAGGTGGGCCTCAACCGAGAAGTCGTGCATCCTGGCTGGTTGTTAAAACTGGCGCTAGCGCACAACAGGGACCAAGCCTAGTGCCTTGGCACCTACCTTGAAAACGTCGCTCGCGTGCGGCCAAAGGACTTGTTTCCTTTGCCACACATCGACCAGACGGCCGATGCTACAACCAGGATAAATGTACCTCATCAGGAGAAAAATCTCTCCATCACCACTTTCGGTCCGCCACGCTTTGCCAGCATGTCCTTTGGGCTAGGCAATGCAGGAGCCAAATACCAGCAAACAATCCTGACATCTGCAGCAGCAGATCAGGATACCGGCGAAGGCATATGTCAACGACAAGGTCGTCAGGACCAAGTCAGATGAAACCCTTCCCGCTGATTCGTACAAACTGTTCAACAAACCTAGCGCACATGCCACTAAGTTCGAGCTAAACAAGCGCGGTTTCGGCAAGATCCTCGGACCCATTGTTTCCCAGCAAGGAATAAATGCAATAAATGTGATTACTTAGATCAACTGATGTATTAGTAAGTAACTATTTTAAAAAACATCTACTTTTAAGAAATGAAAATCTGAAGTTTGTAAAAACCGTAGAACATATCCTGATTTGAAAATGTCCCTAAGAGAGTTTATCCAGGTTGACTACAAGTAGCTGAATAGTGTTGCGGTTCTTCAGCCTTGACCAAATTTCTAATATCCATATCAGTTTACTTATTCAGATGTGAGATGACTTAGGTTAATAAACTCGCAATGTCTTTGGCTTTGGTCAAGTAAAGTTTTTACATCAGTGAACTGATATTCAGATGATTAACCTAAGGCCCTTGCCAATATTCACTAAACGGTTTGGACAGAACTAAGCATGTTGGCATTTAAACAAACAAGTTACCTTGCAAGGATGCAGAGCAAGCTAGCCCTGGACTGGGATATGGCAGCAAACCTTTCGGTTTGATTGAATTCAGATAGCTCCAAACTGGAAACGCTCAGGCAAATAACTTTTCCTTGTGCCCTTCCAAACAAATTGCGTTCCCTGTAAAAATTGGTCACCAAAATTCAGCCCTAATCCAGCAAAAGTATCTCGCTCTTGAAAACACTAGTGTGGAGATTTGAGTTATCCGTACGAATCAATCTAAACGAAATCGATGGAGGCAGGTCGGCGAATCGGCGAACCAGAGAGAAGAGGGGTGCCAGACCTCTGCGTGGAGACGGAGGGGTCGTCTTCCAAAAGCCGATGAGTGCCCGAAGAGGGGTAGTTGTCCAAAAGCCGAAGACGAGGCTACCCGACCGCGAAGACGTAGGGTTCGTCGTCCAAAAGCCGACGACGAGGCTACCAGACCGCGGAGGCGGGGGGTCGTCGTCCAAAAGCCGACGAGGCTATGGCGGACTTCTGCGCGGAGACCAAAATGCAACGAGGTTAGGCGGGAGAAGGTCCAGCAAGCAGGTCGGAGCAGAGGTCGAGACGACGCAGATAGCCAGCAGAGAGGAGAGAGGTACCGGCGGAGACGAAGGGTCGTCGAGGACGGGAGGGAGAAGGCCAGCAAAAGGACGGCGCGGGGGCGGCGACGACGGAGATGGCGATGTCCCGGGCCGCGACAATCCCAATCTGCGGCCGATGACGGTGCCCGGATCCCGGTGAAGTGGGGCAAAAGGAAAAGCGAAGTGGGGGGAACAAGAAGAGAACGGGCGCGGGCAGCGAAATTCCGTAGGGAGCAATCGCGTGGAGTGGGTGGGCCCCGCTTACAGGGACGGTCAGCCTTTCTGGGGTGGGGAACCCGTTGGCCTTTACCAAGAAGAAAGAGTTCGGGTTTCTCAAAAAAATAATAAAAGTGTTTGGGGATTGTAAAGAAAATAAGCCAAAAGTTTGGGGAATTGCAGCCTTCCCCTCAACGAAGAGAGCACCTCCCTCCCGAGCGCGACAGCTAGGGTTCCTAGCCGCCGCCACTACTGCCGGCCCTCCGCCGCGTCGCGCCCACCCGGCTGAGGCCCCGCCGCCCCGCCTCCGGTACAGGAGCCCAGCAACGCCTCCCGCCGTCGAGCAGCCGCTCCCACCAGCAGCGCCTCCCTCACTGGAGCAGCCGCTCCCACCAGCAGCGCCTCCCTCACTGGAGCAGCCGCTCCCCTCCAGTTCATAGGCAGGTAGCCACCACTCCTTCCTCCTCCCTCTTCCTTCATCCCCCCCTCTCCTTGCATCCTCTGTTTGTTCAAAAATATTTCCTGATTTTCTATTGGATGAGTACTTGCTGTGGATTGGATATTGTGAGAATATAATTATGACTATTTCTTGATGAGTACTTGCTGCATGATTTTTCCAGTGCATGTTCAAGTTCACATGTGAAAGGATTTTGCCATATACTGCAGGTGTTTGTGATGATGATTGAGGGGCAAATGTTTTCAAACTCTAGTTTGATTTATTTTTGCAGATGAGCAAATGTTTTGGTTTAAGCATGTTAGAAGTGAAACATGCAATGACTGACGATATATGAAAAGGAAATGATTAAGTTGTTTTATATGCACTATCTTGACCTGAAATCGAAGCTTAGCAGTAACATGCAATTTGAGAGAGCATGAGCTTTGTCTTGGTTATACTGGCCGAAATTGGTTAACACGTTACTAGTCGTATTGTTGGCATGATAGATGTTCCAAATATTTTCTATGATTGGGAATATAGTTCTACTATTATACTTGTTGATTTTGACAGTCAGACCTAAAATATTACCGTTTAAAGTGATATGATTGTTTCTCCTTTTGCATGTTAGCTGACTGATCTTCAGGTTCCACACCTTTCGTGTTTGCCATGCTGCAAGCCTTTCTGTATTTTTGCCCAGAATGTGCTACTGTGCACAAAAGAGAAATTGTTGGTTTCTTGTTTATTCATACAATTTGTCCTGCAATTATGTGTTTTCTGTTACACAAGTCAATCATTCTTTGGGTTTTCACCTAGTCAACCTCATCAGCAATGTTACACAAGGCTTCATTTTCTGGATTGAAGTTAAAATTAATTTCTGTTTCAATATATATGCTAGGAAGGTATTGAATTGCATGTGTACGTACCTCCCGGTGCTAGGAAAGAGGGTGTCACCAACACAAGCATATCCCGTTCAAGAGGAGGAGAACAACGATATCTTGAACAACATTCGTAGTAGGATAGTCGATGTGTGAGCAACATAAGTTAGCTATGTTGATGAAGGTCATCATCATGTGAACCATATGTGTTCTGCGTGGTGCCTGCCTCTCCTTTCTCCTGAATTTCTTCCCAATTTATCCTCTCCGCCCCATCATTTTCCTGTGTAGTTCTCCCTGTGCACACCTCAACCCACCCACTCTTTACGACCGCAACCAGTTCACCACCGGAGAACGGTGCCACGCCCGTGTACCTTGCTATCCGTGTCTTCTTCAGCTCTCTTGCAGCAGGCATGCACGCCGCCAGGCCATCTCAGATACTTGATTTCTAGATGGTGCTGGTTTGTTGGTTTTCGTGGTACACTGCTAAAGACTAAGAGCTACTCCCTCCGACCTATAATATAAGATGTTATTACAACGAATGTACTCATATATTATGGGACGGAGGGAGTGGTAGGTTGGTGGTTGGTGCCTGGTTTGTGTGTTGAGTACTCAAGTTTAGACTATGTCAGTGATATCTTCCTGCAGCTAGTTCCTGGAGTTTTCATTGAACCTTTTGAACTATGTGTCTGATTTCTTTGATTATTAGCTAGTTTACTACTGGAGAAGTCTGGAAAATTGTTGTCAATGTGCTTGACTGTGCACCAGAATTACTGTTGTTTTTCTATATTGTTGCTATGTGCTTTGGTTGGATGTGTTGATCTGCTGGCCCGTGGGTGGTCGATGCCTGTGGAAGACTTGCATGAAAGATGTTCTGTGCCCGCTGCAAGTGGCGGGTATGGCGTCAGCTATAATGTAATTGCGGGCAGGGGCACTCGTGACTTCTCCCTGTGCCCAATTGCCAGCTGTATTAGCACAGTGCAGAAACTGCAAATGAGTTCTAGGGGTCGTTTAGTGGAATTGACTGTAGTGGGTTAATTCGGTCTTGCGCTTATTTTCAGCCCATTAGCCGTCTGCCAGTTTCGTGGTATATTATCTTGGCCTGCTAATGAGTTCATATTCTTAAGCAATTTCATCGTATCTTACCTTCTCCTCTTGCCTCCTCCTGGCTCCTCATTCCTGTGAACAGGCGGCGCTTCCATGCACTTCGGTGCTGGCTATAACCACTGCCACTGGAAAACCGCTGCAAGACTATGGGCTTCCACGCGAAATCCCCTGTATTCTCTTCCTGCTAGAG